TAATAATGTTTCAATTATTATTACTGATGTACGTATCGTTTATTTGCATGACCTACTATTGATCTATAAATATAAATTATTAGTATGTAACTAGTAATCTGTTTATAATTTGAATTTATGTGAGAAAGACTTAGTAGGTATCCTGAAAAATGGTGAATAGACCCAGTACATAAGGAACTGTACTGTGAACATTGTCTTAGTTAGACGGGGCTGAAAAGTTTCACACCGGAAGGGTTTGAGAAATTTGGTTCACTCTCATACCGGACGAGATATCACAGTGATGGTGTATTTGGCGCCTATTACTGGACGGGTATAGAGACGGTCGAGTTAATTAATAAATTCGGATATTGGGTTCACGAGTATGAGAATATCCCTATGGACCCCTAAAGGTTCCATTGAGCAGGTAAAAAAGAAAATTGTCGTTCTTGAACACTTGAAAATGAAATCATAATATTATTTGAGTAATTATTTTTATAGGTTAATTTTGAAAAATTCGTAATGATAAGTATGAATAAACGATTTTCTTTATATTAAATGAATTTACTTAAATTTAAGGTTTTATTAGTTATTTTATATTTTTTACCAACATTCGCTTTCCGTATCAGTGATTGGTGTGATATTATTACTAGTATAAGTAGTTTACTCTCTTATTAATCATTTCATATAAAGTAAACCAAAATCCAGATTCTGATCAGCAGAAGAGTTGTAAGTAGGTTTACTCCCGAACTCTATTTAAGTGTTAGTGGAGATTAACCTTGTAAGATATTTATTTACTATTTTCAGTTATTTATTTCGTTTTTTTTTAGAAATCGCTGTAAAAAAAAATATTCTCGTAACTCTATTGAGCACTTTAATTTACAGTATGAGAAATGTAAACCCTAATATTATTATTTACTGCCGCATTTAAAATATGAATTCGTTTCCTTAAGTTCCAAACTTTTACAATTTCTCTAAGTCAGTGGTTAAATTTAGTTAGGTAATACAAGTAATATCAGACATTAAAAAAGAAAAAAAATGTGTATAATCACTTTTTTAGTTTTAAATAAAATAATCATTTTTTTTGAGATAATGCATAAAAAATTTACATCATTTCTAAAAAAAATTAAAAATTAATTTTGTAATTCAAAGAATAAATTGAAATATTATCCTCCATTGCAATGTAACTCAGTAATTTAGGAATAAATCAGTGAATTGTGTCCAAAATAAATCCTCTGTGCAATTCCTGCCCTGGTTTGGGATAAACTTAATCCAGCAAACAGACAGGGCTAATCCAGTTGGAGAGTAAGCAGCAGCCACGTGGCGCTTCCGTCCCCACCTCCATGGCTCTACTCGGTATTAAAATATATATATATAATATAATTTAAACCAAAAATTCCAAAAACCGTTTCCTCCCTTTTCAGTCTCCCCGTTTCTCTCTTCTTCTGCTTCCATGGAAGAAGGCGGTAACAGCGTTACCCACAAGAACAATGGAAGCAATAGCAACAGTAATCACAGTTATGGCGGTGGATTTTTGGAGGCTAGCAAAGCAGATAGAGCAATGTGGCTAATGAAGTGCCCTGCTCTTGTCTCTCGCTCCCTCCAGAGCCCCGTTTCTCTCGACGATCCATCGCGTCCCGTTGCTAAAGTCATCCTCTCCATCGACCCTCTCGCCTCCAATGACGACAATGATTCTTCTTCTCGTCAGGTGCATTATGCATTTCCACACGATGTATATGCTTCTGTATGTATAGTGTCTACGTATGCATTTTGGGTTGAATCTGCGTGTTGAAAGGGTTTATGGATGTCTTGCATTGTGTTGTTCTTAGGGTTTTTAAATTGCACATTGCATGTATGTTTTTGGTTTCCTTTCCATGTCGTTGTATTCTGTGATTTTTAGGTATTTGTCCCTTCTCTTTCGCGTTTTTGCTTCTGGTTTTTTTGTTTTTTTTTGGGTTAATCTCTTATGCCTTTGGCATGCGTTTGCCTTTTGATAAGAACCTCATATATGGCTTTTCTGGTCAAAGAACAAGAGTTTTGTTTCGAATCTTTTTTATTTGTTTGTTGATTTAGGTCTGGTTCTTGAGTCTTTAAACACCCAACATCATCCATCACTAAGAATTCTCTATGCACTGCATGTGATTTATATTGAATTGAAAATCAATATTGTTTCAACCAATATCAAAACATACAGCTGAGAAAAAAAAGAAAAAGAAAATCAATATTGTTTCAACCAAATTCCTCCATGAGCTTATAGGTAACTGCTCCACAATAGATTTTAGACACATTATGTCTTTAAGAATACAAGAAAAAAGTTAATCAATGCTGGCTTCTATTCGAGTCAATTCTAACTCAGAGCAACTTCTAATAATTATGATCATCATTTCGAGGATGATAATGAACTTGTTAATTACCACTGAAGAATCTTCGTTGTTAATCAACTCGAGCGAATGGTTGAATGCCTTGAACTCGTTTTCAGAGTCAGAAAATAGAAGCATCAACTTAAGGAGCAAGTGAGAGATCCGAACTCCAGGTTGGATTACCCTAAAATTGTTCTCCTCTGCAAATTCATAATTTTCCTCAACATTCTTAGGGGAACCTTCTCCACTTTTATGCTTTGACAATCCCTTCCCTTTCTGCACTAGTTCTTGAAAATCCATGCACAATGTTCCAAGATCATCATCACTAATTTCATCATACACCATCTGACTCATCATTTTCAAGTCACGTTTTTTGTTTTCTAGGATTCCTTGGGGTTTGAGCTGCAGATGTCTTGCTTTCTTGAAGCCTCCGCTCCACCGATCACCAGATTGGTAAGACTTTGTTCCCGACTTCTGTGACTGTTTTCTGTCATCATCGTGTTCCTTCTTGAAATGTTTATACTCGATCTGCTGATTGCCAGATTGATAAGAACCAGCTTCCAACTCCGGCAACCATTTCTTGTGATCAACTTCTTCCTTCTTCAATCTCTCACTGTTACATCTCTAATGACCAGACTGATAAGACCAGTTCCCAATTCCAGTGACAGTTTCTTGTCATCGTCATCTTCTTATCTTGAATCCTTCAGTTTGGCTCGTCTGATCACTATTTTTACTTCTTTCATTGGACCCTTTATGTGACTCTGCCATCAGAATATTTTCAGCAGCTGCAACTGATACCCATTCTTCATCACCAGACTGTGCCATTATTGGAGAAGAGCAGGGAAAGCAAAAAGGATATGAGAGGAGGAATAAGTTTCAACTCTGATTTTTTGGGGGAGGTTGAAGGCTTTATATTGTGAGCTTTTAATACAGAAAGGAGTATTTGGCGTTGCCGTTTTTTTGGTTGATTGAGGAACTTTATAAAATTACCTCTGGGTGTTTAATCCTGTTTCCGCTGTTTCTTTCAATTCAATATAAATCACATGCAGATTGTTGGAATGTGCTTGCTTTTCAAGGGAAGAAGCTACTCAGGTTGAGCATTGCTCAGAATATAGTGATGCAATCGTTATGGTTCAGATGGAGATGATTTTCATATAAAAAAAAAAGCCTTGTATTCTAGATGTTTGCAGTAGTGATTAAGCATTCCATGGTACCATTATTTGGATTGGTTCCTCATTAATCCAGATTGCATAAATTTGCAATGAAACTAAAGTAGATTTTTATATACACAAACATAGACATATATATGAAGGGTGAGTGAGAGAAATCGAGAGAAACCACAGAATTACTGTGATTTCTCCTTTGATTTATAGCTTTCCGACAAGCATTACAGGTATTATTTCAATAAGAAAAAGAAAAACAAGCATTAACAGGGAGAAATGGAAGTGTCCTGTGCCCAAAAGTACGAATGGTAGAAGTTAGCCCCCTAAAAGCGAGTACTAAAGAAAATGGGTGTCTTGCTTGAATATTCGTATGAGACACTATAATAAACCACAATTTGAGTAATTCTTGTTTTTATTGTTTTTACTACAAATGATGCATGCAGCAGGACTTACAGATGGGTGAAATCGACACTTTGTTATATGAGATGGGCTGTGATCATGGATAATTAAGAAAGCTTTATGAGATTATTACTTGTTTCCTTACCCATAGCACGCACCATAATGAACCACCACTTAAGTAACACTGCTTTACAGTCTTCTTTCTCCCACAAAATGTTGCATGCAACAGGACCTACAAAGATGGGCAGATCATGGATGAGAGTAAGAAAAGTTCTACAAGATGGCAGTCATCATTGGTAACTAGGGTAGTTTTGTCATAATTCATGAAAGAAGGTAGAGAATCATTCTAAGATAGTCAATTGAAGTCAATGACAGAGTAAGGTGTGTGCAAATTATGGCTTAACCATAGCTCCTTTCATGGAAACTTATTATGATTTA